GTTGTCAAGGCATTGGTTTGCCATGAGAACAGCCCATACACAGTTGTAAGGGATTGGGTCGCCATTGAAGGCGCGCTCTCTGATTGGTCTTAATGAACCAATTCAGTTTGGCTGGACGCTAAGCTCTTTGGACGATAAAGAGGATGCCGAGCAGCTTCTTTGGAGCGCTGACACAGGGCGCCAAGTTTAGCGGCGCTTCGTTTCTCAACGATAAGAAGCAGTTCAATACATTTACTACAGGTGCGTGCGTTGTTTTCACCTCTTACGTCATGTGTTCCAGCAGTCGGTCACCATTTGCGTGGCTTCTCATGTTGTCTGTTCCTTTTTGCATGATATGGTTATACTGTGAAGCTAAGAACGCGGCTAAGAAGAATGCAGACGTGGATGAGCTGGACTTCTTTGGCTTCAACTCGATCCAGAAGCCGAAGGAGAAGGCACATGAGCGTTGCAATACGAGCGTCGAAATTATAGCTTCCAAGCCAGTTGACAACGCTTCGGTGAACAAAGTGCGCAAAGCCAAGGGGAGTAAACCTCGTCGGAAACGGAAGCTGAGCGAAGGTGCGCTCGAGGAACAACGTCTGGAGAACGAGGCGCGACAACAAGCGTCGCTACTTCTCGCCCCATCAGGGTCGAAGAAAGACAAAAGTGATGATCTTTTTCGTCGGTCGCGTATGGAGTTGGTTGAGACTGAGTCCGTAAGTGAAGAGATGGGCGAGGAGATGGGTGAGGAAGCAGCTACGTCAGATAACGAGGGGGAAGAGGATGATGATGATGAGGAGGAGAATGTTCGATTGTTCAAGTCTCATGGCAACGATGCCGATGCGAAAGTGACTCTTGGAAAGGCAGCGAAGCAGACGAAAAAAGAAGCTGCGCAGAAACTAACTGGTGCTTCTGCTGATCAGTATGTGAGATCCTACATGCTGTGGCTGATAGGTCTCGACGAAAGTGTGCTCACATTTTGTGCTTATGCGATAGGGAGGGCGTGCAGATGCTCCGACGCCAGCTTGGCATTCGCGTGAGTGGTGTCAGAGCGCCAGCCCCGATCACCTCGTTTGCTGACATGCGCGTGGATTCCAGCCCGAATGCACAGCAGATGAAACGCCTGCTGTTGCAGAATATTGAGCGGTCAGAGTACAAGGAACCTACGCCAGTGCAAATGCAAGCTATTCCAAGCATCTTGCTTCGACGCGATGTGCTGGCCACGGCGCCTACAGGGTCCGGCAAAACCGCAGCATTTGCGATTCCGATTCTAGCAAATTTGGCTGCTAGTGGCGCAACAAGTCGCGGTATTCGCTCGATTGTGTTGGCTCCAACTCGTGATTTGGCTGTGCAGATTCGTACTGAGTTTACACGTCTCGCAACAGGAAGGAAGACGCACATTACACTACTGTCGAAAGCCACCGCTGCTACTATTGCTTGCCAGACCAAGAGCAAGTTAGCTGTGAAGCACGATGTACTGATTGCCACGCCGCTTCGTCTCGTGCATTTGATTCAGGAGGCCAAGGTCGATCTCTCCGCCGTCGAAATGGTGTGTCTCGATGAAGCTGATCGACTGTTGGAGCTTGGCTTCGTGGAGCAGGTTGACGAGATATTTGCTGCCTGCACACATGCTACCGTCCAGCGAGCCATGTTCAGTGCTACAATGCTGGAAGGAGTCGAAGAGCTTGCTCAAACTGTGCTGCGCGATCCAGTCAAGGTGGCAGTAGGAACGAGAAACACCGGCGCTAGCACGATTGATCAAAAGCTGGTTTTCGTCGGCAAGGAAGAAGGGAAGCTCGTTGCGATTAAGCAGCTGCTCCATGATGGTCTCCAACTCCCAGCGCTGTTGTTTGTGCAGAACAAGGAGCGTGCGAACGAGCTGTATCACGAGTTGCTGTACGACGGTGTAAATATCGGTGCTGTTCACGCAGACCGTACGAAAGAACAGCGTGACGACGTGATCTCGCGTTTCCGCACTGGCGACGTCTGGGTGCTTATTTGCACAGATCTTATGAGCCGTGGCATGGACTTCAAGGCTGTAAATATGGTCATCAACTACGACTTCCCACAGGTTTGGCTATGATGGTTTGCATCGTTGTGACATTGCAATAACAAATGTGTACGAACGTTGACAGAGCGCTGTAAGCTACATTCACCGGATTGGCCGTACTGGTCGAAATGGACGCAAGGGCAAAGCTGTTACGTTTTTTACGGAAGATGATATGGTGTACCTCCGCACAATCGCTAACGTGATGAAGCTCTCAGGCTGCGAGGTTCCTGACTGGATGCTCTCGCTCAAGAAAGCCAGGTATGTGGTAGCTCCTTGATGACGAGTCTTGCTGTCTTTCGCTTGACTTACCTTTGTTTCTTTGCGGCACCAGTGTATCGAAAAGGAAGGAACTTTTGAAGGCACCTCCTGTGCGGCACCGTATCAACACGATATCTGGGTACGATCTCCAGAAGGCACACCGGGTGAAGCAGATGAAGCAAGCGAGGCCCAAAACAAGCGGTGATACCAGCGACCAGCCAGAACAAGTTGAGAGCAGGAAGAAACCGACAAAACACAAGAAGGGCGGCGATGGCAGTAGTCAATCAAAGTTACAACCTGAAAAAAGAAGCGGAAGTAGCACAAGATGTCGATGAGCGAGTAAGTTTGGCAACCTAGTTATTGAACAGGTTGCTACTTTGATGCACGAACACCTACTTCTCTCATTAGCTTTTTCTTGCTGTTCACGTTGCATATGATAAGTGATAACACACGGCAATATTCCTGCTCCAACGTCTCACACGTTGGCCTGCCCTGCTTCTAAACGATCAAGATCCTCGCTGTCCTCGTAACCTGGTTTCCCTGTCACCAACGACGGCGGTGCAGTCATCTTGCGGTACTGCAGCAGCACGGGGTACATCTTGTCGATGGCTTGGTGAAGGTGGTTCGAGTCGCGTGCGCCGCATAGCACAATCTTGCCAGACACAAAGATGAGCAGCGTCAGCTTGGGCTCTACCAGTTTGTAGATGAGTCCAGGAAATAACTCCGGCTCATACTACACGCATCGAACGAGGTGCAACGTATGTCAGCATGGTTTTATCCCGTAGTGCCAACTCCTTCACATCTCCTTCCAACACAAAAGCGTACACTTGAGAAGCGCGCATGGTCGTTCAGCAGTCCTTCCAGCCGAATCGGAAAGCGGACATCGCACGTACCCATTACATTTCGGACTTTAAATTCAGTAAACTTCGCCGGAAAGTTCAGTTTCTAAGCAAGAAAAAGACAATGCACGACCTTAGCAGCCACTTCAGCACACAACATCAACGACCAGTCGTCTGTACATAGTTACGAAACATCATACGAGCACAGACCTGTATTACGCGCGTAAACTTGCGAGCAGCTAGTCGGCAACTCCCTTCACTCGTTCCACCAGTAATAACAACCTAGCGTCATTACCACATTGCTTCAGTGTCAGCTCCATCCATATGGCCGCATAGAAATAGTCATTGTAGCCTTTTTCCCGACTTCACTCAGAGACGCACTTTTCCAGATCCAAATATCAGCGCTGTCGTCTTTGGGTCGCGCAATCGCATGATCACCGCCGAAAAACGCTGTAAGTACAGCGTAAAAAACTCGTTTACAACATTTAGAGCTCCGTCTCGTCACATGTGGGCTCGAACTATCAATTGCCGAACCTTGGGGTTGTACTCGGCGTTGCGCGCATGCAGCGCAATCACCTTGAGGTCGAGCGGTGTCTTCAAATCCACCGTACCAACGACGTTCCTAATCAATGGTACCCACATTCGGGTTACGGGGTCTAAAAAATGCCATAAACTTACTAAAAAACGCCAAAAAAACGAGCCCAAACGTACATGATCTTGACCTGCAAATCAAGACGGTCCTCCCAGTCGTCGTCCACTTGCAGCTCATGTGCGTCAACAGGCTGGATATCGTGGCTTGGCTCGTCAATCAGCGCGAGTTGCCGCTCCTTCACGGCGCGAGAGCTGCTGCGGGCAGACGCCTTGCGCATGGCTATGTATTCTGTCCGTTGTTTTGACCACCGTCAAGGCCCGTTTTAACCCGACGGTTTAGGAGAATTGACCGGCGTCTCCTCCACGAAAACCAGGGGGCCTAAATCCTCGACCTTAATGATTGGTGCATAACCCAAATGAGTAGGTACCATCTAAGGCCCACTGCCCCTGAGTAGCATCTTCCCTACTTTGACACGGCGAGACAGCGTCCGTTGTTTTAGTCTAGAGTGTGTCGCTAGCTGCGCTCCGTGTCATGCCCGCATACCTTGACTATCATGTCGTGCTCTAGTTACCGAGCCACCGCTTTGCCGGTCATAACACACGCGCCTACATGTCCACTCGGCGGGCTCAACCCGCTCGTTGCGTGCGTAAATGCGCGCGCGAGAAAGCCAGAGCAGCGAGAACCTACCCATTTTCCGCCTGAGGTTTTTTACCCCTCGTCGAGGTTTTAGCCTAGTTTGGTCGAAATGTGACTTGGCGCGCGAGGAGGGATTTTCGCTTTTGCCCTCAGTTTTGAACGGGGCGTTCGAGCCGTCGAGTGTGTTAAAACCACGTGCGCGTCGACCGACGCTCAGGCCGCGAGTCCTTTCGTCCGTCTCCTTGTCCCTGCGCCCGCCCGCCCGCCCGCCGCTCTTCCGCCGACGCGGCCACTCGACAGCGGCCGTTGCACGCGGAGAAACACGAGCGAGTGGGAGAACGCACTGAACGCGTCGCGCTTCTGTCCGGTACGACGCCCCGCTCTCTCCCTCGCGTCTCGCACCGCCTTTCAGTCCCTCTCTCCGCCACTCACTTGCGTCTTTCGTCTCTTTCTCTCTCCCTCTCTCTCTCTCTCTGTGTGTGTGTGTGTGTCTGTTGCAGCCACGCCGCCTGTGAGTCCTTGACCTCTGTGCTCGTCTTGTGCGCAGCCGTAGCGACCGTCGGGTGTTTGTCCTCGCGCTCCTTCTGCGACACTGCTACATCGACAACTACTACTAGTACTTGTGCTACTTTACTGCTACTGCAAGGGCCCGGCGCGAATGGATTCGTTTGGCTTTGACTTTGCGGGTGGCGACCTGTTGGACTTGGGCTCGCTCGGCTCGTGGACCAATAACACGCCCATGGGCAACTCGCCCAACGGCGGTAACGGTAGCAACGGCGCGCTGCCGTTCAGTGTGGGTACACCCACGGGCGTCCAGAGTCTCGGCGACGACCCGTTTGCCAACATGCCGAGCACCAGTGACAATGAATTTAGCTTTGGCGACTCGCCCAAGCCGTCGCCCAGTGCTCAAAGCCAAAAGAGCGCTGTCGATGCGCTGGCAGTTCCTGCGACATCGACAGCGATGGCGTCAGAGCCATCGTCATCATCGTCGGCGCCCAGTGCGAGCGCCGGGACGGAATTGGCCACGAGCTACTTTGGTGCAGAGCTGGAAGCTAGCGGCCCGTCCCCACGGGCTCCATCACGTGCCGCTGCCTCGTCCTCAGGGACGACGGACGCCTTGTCGACTGGAGATACCAAGAGCAAGAAGACGAATGTCAAGAAAGATACTGCGCAGTCAAAAGCTGATGCAAACAGTGCACCGACATCGGTGTCGTCGACAAGTGTTAAGAGCACTGAGACTCCATCGGCGTCAGTGCCTTCGAAAGAGGACACAACGAGCTTGGCAACAGTGACGTTGTCGTCGACTCCGAAGGCGTCTTCGTCCATAGCGCCTTCGACAGGGTCACGATCGGTATCTAGCAGTGGTGCTACGAACTCGGCCCCGAACAGTAGTAGCAGCGTTGCCAGCAGCAGTGCAGCGACGTCTACGCCGTCAACAACATCGTCTGCGCGACCGCACATCGGGAATCAACAGCAACAACAACAGCAGCAGCAGATGCAGATGCAACAGCAGCAGAGACAGCAACAGTATGCCAATCAGATGATGATGAACCAGCAGAGTGGCCAGCCCCAACAGTTTGCTGGTCAACCATACCAGCAGCAAATGCATGCCGCCCAGATTGCTGGGGGTGTGAGTGCGGCTCCCGCTCCACCTGCGACTGCCGCTAGTCAGTATATAGGAAGTCAGCCGGGTCAGGCCTACCGTCTACCGACCTCGTCGTATGAAGAAGAGTTTGCGCGGGTGAAAGCAATGATGATGCAGCACGTTGATCTGATCCCCCCACCGATGGAGGTGCTTCGTATCTCGATGAGCCAAAGCGCAGCTGGCCAGCAAAGCATGACTATGGGTGGCAACGCTTATATGCAGCAGCGTGGCAATCCAGCTATGGTCCGTGGAGGCGCCCCAGGCAGCGCAACGTATGGTCAGTATGGAAACCCAAATGTGATGATGGGCGGGCCTCTGCAGAACGCGCCTCAAGCTGGAATGATGAATGCAGCACGGATGCGTGCAGCGCAGATGGCGCAGCAGCAGGCGCAACAACGTGTCGCGGCTGGTCGAACGCCTGGAGGAAGCAACGACGCGCAGACCGCGTGGCAGTCGGAGAACGATCTGCCTTTGCGGCGGAAGATGATCGGAAAAATGTACGTTTTATCGTGGAAGTGCTGTACTGATCGAAGATGGATTGCCTAATGTTCTGTCGCAATGTTGCTGATGTCATGCAGCGTAAGTTTGCTACAGCAGCGAAAGCCAGATGCACCTGCTGAGTGGATCCGCCGGTTGCCGGACATGGCTAGGAGACTGGAGGATTCATTGTACCGTACGGCGAAAAACCGAGACGAGTACGGGGACTTTTCGTCACTGAAGACTCGACTGCAGCATTTGGCAGTGACGATGGGTGCGCGTGCTCAGCACAAGGCAGGAGGCAACTCGCGCGCTGCAGGTGTAAGTAGCGTACCCGGTACAACTGGTGGCACGGCCGGAAACAACGCGATGATGACTGCTAGTGCACCTCCAGGCATGGTAATGAATTTGGGAGCCGGCGGGATGGGCCCTCAAGGTCACGTGGTAGGCAACATGCCGTATGGGAACCGTATGACTCAGCAGCAATTGATGCAGCAGCAACACTTGCAAATGCAAATGCAGCAGAACCCTCAGATACGACAACAGCTTACCCCACAGCAGTTGCAGCAATTTCAAGAGGCTCAACTGCAGCGGCGGCAGCTCCAAATGCAGCAGGCGCAGCAACAGGCTCAGATGCAGCGTCAACAGCAGCACCAGTATCAGCAGAATCAAGCTCTTCAGCGCCAGAATTCAATGCGTCAAATGCAACAGCAGCAGATGCAGCAACAGCAACAGCTGCAGCAACGGCAAAATCCGAACTACATGCAACAGCAGCAACAACAGCAGCAGCAGCAAGTCCAGGCCCAAGCTCGCGCGCAAGCGCAAGCTCAAGCTCAGCGAAATGGTACAGCTAATGGCGCAACCAATCAGCAGCGCATGAGTGGAGATATGAGTCTGGGCGAATCTTCGGACTTTATGAATTTGGACTTATCTTCGTCGTTGCTGGGATCTGATGATCTACAAGGTGGTGTGAATTCCAGCCATACAGGAGGTGACGCAATGAAGAGTGGAAGCAATGCCGTTGCTCACCAGGCAAGTCAAAAGCGCACGCTTTCTCAATCTCAGCAGCAAATGGCAGCGGCGGCAAATGCAGCTGCGTTTAAGCGGACTAAAGTAGGAGGAGCTGCCGGCCAGGCTGGCGGCGCTGTCACAAATCAGCAGCATCCAAGTACTGCAAATTCCGCATCTCAAGTATCACAGCCCTCGCAGGCACCGATGCAGAAATCCGTGACAAGTACTAGTGGCTCATCGAAGACTCCACCAATGAGTACAGTTAACGCCAAGTAACGAACGCTTCATTCAACGGATGTGAGCGATGACCGATAGTCGAGGGAGACGCGAAGAGGAGCATGGACGGAACTTATCAGGATGAGCAAGCAGACATTACGGTGGCCCAGTGGCGAACTGGGGCTACGTGCAGCCAGAGGAGAGTGATGGGGCGTGTGAACGTATACTGCAAACCTACCCGTTTCCGACCTCGTGCAAAGTAGAGGCAACTACGCTGGCCTTATTTGTTAGGGATGGCGTTATACCGGGCGAGTAGACAGAGCGGGTTCCAGTTGGTTCTGGAACCCCGCTCACGTTCGGTGTGCATCATCGAGGACAGCGCTGCTGCTTCAGGCGATGGCATACAGGACATTGTGCGTCGAGCTGTTTACAGCATGGGCGATGTATAGGCAAAGCCGCTGTGGCTTGAAATGAATTTGTAAAGTGGCGAGTTTGAGTTGTGTAGTTGCGTCACTTTTTTCCAGGCAACACCCGATTGTGGATGTAGTTCCAGCTAGATTAAGTCGCGGGCCAAAAGATGGTTGCACCTGCCAGAAGTTAGCTGTCGATGTCTCAGCCTTGTCTGGCTCAAACTTTGCCGACCCGGAGGAAGAAAAGAGAAAATTCATGACGATTTATGTAATCTACAATCATGCACAAGATGTCGGTAAAGCTGCGGGCGAAGAAATAGGCGCGGCATCCAGCAACTTGTCGTAGCAGACCCTTGTAGAAGCCGAGAGGATCCGTGTTGTTTGAGAGTAAATGGATCGATACAGACATCTAATGAAGCCCCTTGGACGATTGTGTCGGGACTTTGATGTTCGCGTTGTACCAACGCTGTGAATCAACGCATCCCGAGCTCCTGTGAACGTGAGACGCCTCGGGTTGTGATCTGCAATCTCGGAATACAGCGTCGTGCCTCTCCTTCTACAAGTCAGTTGGACGTACGCTACACATGGGAAACCAAATCCGTTTTCAGCTAGACCTGAACCCCTCCCTGCCTCATGATCGTATTGTCGCAGCAGATGCATAGACGGCTTCTTTTGTTTCCACCGTCCCAAACGCTTGGCGATTCGCATTTCGCAGAAAGCGGCTGGCAGTATTCCTCCCGCCATCCCGAATGTGCTTCTGTTCCTCCTGTCCAATGACGGAAACATGTGCGCCAACATGTGCGTGTCTATAGAAAGTGCCAAAAGATGTCACCCGGACGACACGTCGGTAGCGCACAATAACCATTGAAATGTGAAGACCCGCACGGTAGAGGTCAAGTTGCTTCGTGGCACTTCGATAGCACGCCTGGACTTGATCTTTCGTGATGTTATTTGCGCACATGATAATTTGAGATGGGCGCAGCAGTGCGCTGCAATCAATCCGTGCTGATGATGGTATCTGTAACGGGGTGAGCCCGTTACATAAAAATTGATACATTCGTATCAATTTTTGAACATTATCTATTTAGATTATATTCATTTGACATTAATCGACAATAGGTACTGTTGGCAGAATATTACCCCTATATGTAATATATGTGGTTGCTTCACTTCTTAGTTGACGTTCACGATACATCAACCAAATAAACCACCAATCGCTGCTGGACGCGCGCAATGGGTGGTGAGCCAGAAACCCACATAGGAGATTGTAGTCTAATATAGTTAGATGAAGACAAAGATGGTTTATTAAGAAAACATAACTATATTAATCACAGTTCTACTTTCCCTCGGACAGAGCCCTCGGGTTCTGTTTGCTTCGGTTGCAATTGCTCCACGTTTTCTACGTAGAAACGGCGACACCGTCGGTTTACTTCCTACCAGACAATCCGTCCTTGTCTCTACAATAACACGACGCCAATCCGTCGGGCTCTTCGACCTAGTCCTGCCTTGGGCGGTCGCAAATCGATAGTCTAAGACTGTGCTTGCAAGCATTATCATTTGCGGTGCATGAGGCTTGAGGCAGACACCCTCAAAAATAGGCTAGCGTTTGTGTTGGCAGATGCTAGCGAGCTCCTGCAATAAACGTTGCGGGTTTTGCGTCTCTCGTTCCTCGGCAGCGATACGGGCATTCATGTGCCTTCACGCACCATAGAACCATCGAGACTACACGAACGGAAGCAACCCTGGGGTGGAGGTTTGATCAAGCGCTGAATCCAGGGGTAAATCGTAGAGGAGCCGTTCGTCTCGAGTGCTGCTTTTATGCGCTTGGAGCCCTGTTTGACACGCTCTTCCGTCCTCCTGCGTGTTGACGCTAGACTTGTCGCATGAGCGTAAATGCCTCGTGGCTGCGGAGGGTGAGAGATGACGAATATCGCACAAGGTGTCTACGGCAAGAATTCGTCCAAGAAGGGTATTTTAAGGAGGACCGATCATGAGAGACACGACTACCGACGTTTTGTTGGCAGGATGGTGGCTCGGCTGTGGAGTGCAGTGCCTGTTCCGGTCCCTGCGTATTATCTACCGCGACGTGGCGTGCCTAAAAGCTGTCTAAAAGGTGTCTCACAACGAGAGAGCCGGTCGTCTTTCGTGGATCAACGTCGCCCGATTCAACCCGTATCCTTAGCAGTGTACTGTTCTTGGGCACAAAGTCTTGGCGCTAGGATCAGTTTCATTGCAAAGCATTCCCATCTTTTCACTGTTCAGCTCGAACCAGGTGTCTCCTCAGCCTCTCCCACGGGGCAGCCCCTTCGGCTGGAATCCTCCCTCTGGGAGCCGAGGTGGGTGTTTCTGCCTTAAGTATGTTGCGCTCGCAACCGTCAGTTGCGGGTGCGGCCATGTCGCGGCAGATACTGCGACCCGAGTTCCCCGTTTCATCGCATCGGCGGTCGCGCACTACAAGTCCGGCGGGCCGCACCAGCGGTCTCTGAGGAGAAGGCACCGCGAGTGAGGCGACCCCCGCGCCACGCGTCATTGCTTCGGCGATCGTACATACCAGTGTTGGAGGGCACTCGCGCGACCGCAGGGACCGTCTATCGTCAAGGTAGCGTCTTCCATGTTCTGTGCCTTCGCTCCGGCGATACGCAACTTCGGTTGGTCGGCCGCGTTCGCAGTCGCCACCCTCGGATCAGGCGTCTTACCTAGATGCATTGTCACTGCTCTGTTGCACAGGGTAGCGTCGCAATGAGAGCGCTTGAATGGTAGGCTGTTTTAGGCTTTGATGGGTCCGTTTTCGAACCTCCTTACCCCTCGCCTCATATTTCTTCGGAGCCCACGTTTTGGTCCCGGCTCCGAATTGCAAATCCTGGCTCATTCACTTCAGTCACCTTGGTACACTTAACTATGTCAACAGACGCACATAAATCTCTGTCAGGTTTTTGCAAAGCCGATGAGATAGAATTCGTGTGCGTTCCTCAATGAGTCACCTGGTCAGGTCCTCAACGATTCACCTGGTCTCGTTCTGAATAAATCAGGTCCTCTCGTCTCTACAATTCAGGTGGTCTCTCGTTCCTCATTCTGCAAAATCTCTCGCCAAGCGCAGATCGCGCAGCATGCATATGTACTGCCTGCTCTTCTTGGTCTTCTTCGTTGTGAACGGCGTCCTGACTCATGTTGCCGCCTTCGATCCGAGCGACGCCCTTCATTCCAAAGCGACTGTGACCACGACGGAGGACCCTTCGACTACCAGCGATGCAGCTGTCAACATACGTGCGCTAAAGGGTTGGACCGGTGAGGAGAGAGGCCCTGTGTTTGACAGCATATTTGGACCGATGAAGAAAGCATTCGAAAAGCTGATGGGCTATATCCGCTCGTTTCTATCTCGCTTTCGTCAAGAACAGGCTGTCAAGCCGACCGAAGACCAGACGCTTGTTAATAAAGTCATGGGGCCGCTGCTTTCGGATACGCACCCGGAAGCGGTGTTTCATATGCTTCATTCCGAGGAAGGTCGGATATACAAGTGGCTTGAATCCACCGCGCTCTATCGATCGAATTCGGGAGAGACGGGGGGTTTTATTGAACAAACGGTGCTACTTCTGGACCAATTTTTTGTCACAGACGAGGCGATACTTGCACGTGTCTTTGCCAAGCTGATGATGAATCATCCTGAATGGAAAGAATTTGCTGAAGCGGTGCAGAGACGTCACTATAAGGACCTGGTTGTGAAATACGGTGTGCTTCCCAGTCAGTTTGAACGTCACCTTCTACCCCCTGGTTCCCCTGGTCGCCCTGATCAGTCAATCGTCGATTTACCGAAAGATGATCCTATTTTTCGCGCCTACAAAGCCTTCATCTTAGAATTTGCTGATGCGCAAGGCCCTGATAAACGAGAGAAGTTGAAGTCCCTCTTTTCCCTGGACGACGGCGCTAAAGCGGCTAATTATGTGACCGCATTGGAGCGAATGGTTCCTGATCAGATTTACCAGAAACATAATTTGTTTTCCGAATGAGGGATGATTGTTCACTCCGTCGATGGTCATCAAGTTCCGCGACGTGCGTTCAGGGGTTGTTCGAATGCAGTTAGGATAAAAAGTAAATACATTGACTGTACCTTGGCCTTGCCTAATCCTACCACCAGTAGAGCAGAAGGTATGATACAGTCTTGTTTTAGCGAAGCAGTGGTGTCTTGGTATACACACGCCGTCTTTGCGGTCATCGTGCGACATACATGTCTACACTGTCTTCGTGATACGCCCGTTCTCAGAGCTCACCGCAAACTTTGTCGAGACGTATTTGTACAACCAATCAGTCAGCCTTCATCCTACCGCAGCAAACAGCGTACATTCAGCACACTCTCATCGATCAAACATCTTTCTCGATGTGCGAAACGCAAGTGCGGTCATGCTGGGGGTACTCTGCAGTCGTGGTTATCCTCGTGCCTTTCCAAATCGAAAGCCTACATTCTCAGCTCTATTGTAGATAAAAAATCGAAGCCACCAAGAGAATCAGTAGTTTTGAGCTTGCAGCGTGCTCGACAATAAGGTCCTCCTAACTAGTTTTTGTCTCTTTGAGAGACAACAGACTGTATCAGCTTGGATATCAATGTCAATGCAGCTTGCAGTTAGCGCTTATTCGATCAATAGTGCGGTCTCTAGA